TAGCTCAGACTTATTCCCGTTTCTGCTTGCACCAAACCCACAAGAAAACGGCTCAAGGCTTCCAACGGTTCTGGCGGATTCTTAACGACCCGCGAATATCCCCTGAGGATCAGCGAAGTAATCTATTAAATGAGGGGGAAAGGAAAGTTACAAGAGACTTAGAGAAACAACAACAGGAAAGAGGAAGGGAGAGAGGAATGAAAGACTACTGCAACCAGAAACAACCACAGGCGAGCTTCGGGGTACACGACAATTGTCACCATCAGTACATCTTGAATATGCGCTTCCCCACAAGAACCACCAGCTTTGCTTCAATGCCAGGTCTACGGCAAGGCGGGTCATCCAGATGAGCCATCACCAAACCCGATGATCTTTAAACAGCTATGCCAACCCCTGTAGTTAGGCCATCACAGCACAGGCGCTCCACTGCCTTTGCCGCCGCTGCCGTTCACGAAAGGGAAGTTTTAGGTGGTCTCGCAATGCCTGCGGCAAGGCCTAAAACCCAAACCTTAACTCCAAGGATCCACGTGCCTAATCATCGTACCGGTAGTTTTCTAAATTAGGGTCCCTTTAGGCTCCTTTTTATAAGGGTGCTGTACTTTTTATTGGGGACCTACTTCTTTTTTCTCTTACAGAGACCCTACTCTACCCATATGCTGTCCCAAATACCAACCTACAGACCCGCTATCCGAAACCCAGGTTTGGAATTATGTCTAGGAGCCTCAAAAATACTAACATCCGGTTTGGGTGGCAAATTTCTGTATACTTGTAATAAGGAGCCCTCAACAATAGCATTGGTAATTATCTAAGCCCCTTTCTTATATTGGTGGAGAGCTGGGTTGCAGGGGGCTGTTTACGTTTGGGCTGGCCTGAAATTTGCATGAGCTGTCTGAAGGCTTGCAAGAGCCCATACTTTCATTTCGGCACATTGTTGGTATAACCTCTGCTCCCAAGAAGTAAGACATATCGAGGCCGTTTTGCCGAACCCTACATCGATTTACAATCAAAGGCCTGATCCGATCCTTCACGATTGATCGTCCTAGATGTGATTGGCTCTGTTCTGGGCTTTAATGATAGAAAGTCCTTTAAAACCTGGTGCAGAGCACAGTGTCACATACTGTGTGATGAAAGAACTAAGAAGCCACCTACGGCTACGAAGCCTCTGCAAGGGCTGAAAGCCTGACAGGAAACGTGCACTCATGTATGCATGCAGCAGCTTGTTTTAGCTTCAAGGATCTTTGCCATATTAGGCACAGAATCCTTTCGCGCCTGGGCCGGTGATCTCAATAAAAGAAGGGGGACATGCAAGCAAGAAGACGACACCAAGACCCACGCTCCAGGACCCATGACGCACGCACCTCCTCCGTCTGTACGCGTGATGTGCGCCCGGACGCGGACATCATGGGAGGGCGAAGTCCCACCGCAACCCCCTAAGTGACGGGTGGAGAAGGATGCAGAAGATGTGTTGTGCAGCTGACTGACATCCAGAGATCCAATCCCTGTTCCTCATATTTGCATGACACTGGTTCTTGAAGCCATTATTACCATCAAAGACCTACCGCCTTTTCGATAACATGCCTGGCACAATCCTGCCAACACAGCTTGGACAAACACACGATGTTGGAGGGTGCTGAGCTGCAACGGCCCTGACAAGCCCACCTCCTCCTGTTCCCAAATCACTACAGTACATCGAAGCTACCAGCCGAGGGCGAAGGCACAACCAGTTCACACGCCCTGCACCTACCTCTTTAACGGATAGGAAATTTGGTACGGGGTCCTCAACACGTAGGTGTTCTACGATCTAGGTACGGCTTCAAGGGCTACGGTTCGTGAACTCTTGGCCCAGCCGCCTTCTCCCACTTGCTTGGCCAATCTGAAGCTTCAGGATTTGACAAATCCTGCGCCATGGCCTCCCAAGACGCGCAGGGTTTCGGGATAACGCGTATAGGTGTACCTAGACATAGTGTATACTTTGTACCCTGTATCATAGACCACCTTTGCAGGAGCGCATGCATTCAAGCCCAAAGCATGCACTATAATGCGGAGCCGTACTGTAGGGCTATCTTCTGCCTAGATTAGTAAGATGAACTTCAGTTGCTCTAGCTGGCGTTTCGGGCTACCGGGTCTCCACTGCGCTGTGCCGCCCGGGGTTCGAAGCAGGATAGTTCGGCATTCAACTCTAGGGAGTGGCTTGCATCTATTACGCATTCTGTTTGTAGGATATGGGGAGGTGTCGATCAAGGTCGTCGATTTTGCAAAGCTCCAAAATTCTCCAAAACCTAAGCACTTTGTCGAGCCCAAACCCTACAGAACCCAACTCATTAACATCCAGGTATGTTGACGCTTGAACGCTGGAACTCTTGAAGCTGTTCAAGCCATCACCTCACTCAAGGCGCCCTTCGCGCACGAGTTCATCCAACACGGCAAGACCTCAACCTCAACCTCCCCACACCCCACCCCCAAACCCTGACCCCTGCACCCAATAAACCGCTTCAAAACATCCATGGCCTCTTATAAAGCCCTCCAGCCCTACGCCCTAAACCCTAAACCCTGAACCCCAACCCTTTAATTATTCCCTAAACCCCCCATAGGGCCCAAACCCACACGATGGGGCTCTGGCCTCCGCAACTGGAAGCTTCCGAACTCAGGGCGGGGTGCAGGGCTGCAACTGAGCCAGCAACGACCGGCCAAAAAAGGTTTTGGGTTCAAGGTGCAGGGTTTAGGTTATGAGCTTAAGTTGTGGGGATGAAGCTTTGGCTTTGAGGTCTAGGGATTAGGGGAACCTGATTCCTTGTTTCAGGGCTTTGGCTTCAGGGCTGCATGACTCTATGGTTGAGGCTGTTGGCAGTGTCCGCGCCAAAGCCTCAACAGGGCAACTAATCGTCAGCAGTCAGGATGTCGAGCGAAGATGCATTTGAGGTCGCATTGGGCTCTGACTGCTTTCATTCCCTCCCTCTCTGTCGTAGCAAAACTGTTCGGCTGCAGTGAGTCTTTGCAGCAGACAGCAAACTGTTTCAATGAACCTGACCGAAAGACTGCACACGGACTCGAACTGGCATTGCCAGACATCCAAAACATGCAGCGGCACCTGTGAAACCAAGCACCGACTTGGAGAAGGGGGAAGTTGGGAATCACTCGGGCGACTACCATCGATGGACGGGAACTTGCTCATTACGCAAGACTGAAGAAACCTGTACACAGTCAGTGAGCGTCGCCATCATGCAAAGCGGGCGCCTCAGACAAAGTGTGCTTTGCTGAAGTCATTCAGTTCCGATGTCAGCAAACAAGGCATAGCCATTTCGACGCTTTTGCTTTTTCCTCGGCTGATCCTTCAATGAGGCTTGCTGTGCTCCGTCACAGGCCGTGCTCGTGTGCACACGCAGATCTAGAGCTGACGACCAGATCGTGATGCAAGAATTGCTGAGAACATCATGTCTGTTCAGGCCCCACAGCCTCTTGGAGCAGCAGTCACAAGCACTATATCGCCTTGATAAAAAACCCGCGCTGGGACCGAGTATTTCGAAACATACAGGATTTCTGATTGCCTATTTGTAAGTCTCCTAAACCGATAGCCCTCAGCTAAACCGCCCAAACCAAAACCGACAGCCCCGGCGCTCGGAGTGTTAAGCACCAACTTCGACCCGGGCAGGCCAGGGTGGAAGCAGCTGCAGCTGCATCAGCTCTGTTGGATGTAGACGTCTCAGATGGTAGCAGCTTGAGACGTCTGCATCCGAGAGCCACAGTGATGCAGTGCGCTGAGGAGCTGAGCCATAGAAGTTATACCTAGAGTGCCAAGAACGGCCGATGTTTGCAACATGCACCATGCCGCGCAAGCCGGATTATGGCATGGACCGTGACGGAATGAACAAAGCAACTCAGTCATCAAGGTATGTCTAAACTGGGAAAGCTTCGGTGCTCGACTGCAGCAGGCCGGCATGTCTACAGAAAGGGCCACTCTCTTGGAAGCGATTGACAGGAGCAGCGTTCGGAAGCATTCGTCATTGTAATCTGAAAATCCCTAAACCCTAAACCCTAAACCCTAAACCGTAAACCCTGAACCTAAACCCTAAACCCTAAACCCTAGACCCTAAACCCTAAACCCTAAACCTTAAACAGAGATATCATGCCTGGAGCATAGCCGCAGCACTTGTTACCTGCTTACCCCTGACAGTCTCCGAACGCGGCTTCTTGAAGTTGTATCGAGTCGATGGTCGGCCATAACATCCATAAAGGAGTTTCCGAAAATTAGGGTACTACCATTTAGGGTACTGTATTAGGGTCCCCTATTTTCTGAAACCCCCATATCTAGTCGTACGATTGAAAGCCAAAGTGTTCTTGCCGACCTGGAGGGGGAGCCTTGCGTGGCCTGGCGCAGGCGGATCTGCAACACATGTATTTGGCTTTCTCCTGAACCTGAAACCTGAGATACCACGTCAATCCCATCCAAAGTCATAAAGATCGTTTCGTCTTTCTCGGGCGATCGATCGGGAAAACTCCATCCCATGGCCTGATATAGAAGTCAAATCCTCCAAAGGTGCACGTCTATACCGTCTATACCCCATAGATACGCTTCGGAATGTCCTCTCAAGTCAATGTTCTGCTTTACTCATCTACTCCTCTTCAGGAGAAGAATTTGTCACATCTGGTGGTTGCAAGATCAACTTGCTTCTATGCATTTCGTAATCGCCTAAGCTATGTGTTTAATACTTAAGCGCTACACAGTGTGCCTTAGGACAGCTGGACCAGGCAAAATTGTGTTCAAAAACAATGATAATTGCTTGCTTTGGTTTTGGCAAACCACGAGTGTCTGAGCCCCGCCGGCTGCACGTGATTTCAAACATCTCAAACGCCTTCTGTCTATCAGAGTCTATCGTATAAAGGCGGCAGCACATACACAAATACGTTCAGACACAAGATCAGCACAAACAGACACTGACGCAGAAATCCACGCATGCAAAATTTAAACAATACCAATGCAACGTGCATGTCGACAATGAGCCTCATCGGCTCCGATCACGGCGCCCACGGCTGCTGCTCCGACCACGGCTGCAGCTCCGTCGGTTGGCACTTTCGCTTCGCACACGTTGATCCTGAAGAGCTTTTCTAATTACACGGGATCATGCTTGAGAACTGCCCTCCTCTCAGCTTCAACACAGGGTCGGCAGCCTCTCGCTTTGCAGTTGAGGTGTTCGGATTTCAAGTTCTCACAATCCCACAAACCCGAAGTAGTGTCAGGAGTGCGCTTCGGCATTGCAGGATAGGGCTAAGGGATGTTTAGGGTATGCAGGGAGGGATCTAGGTAGGGTCGTGTGTTGTTTCGGTGTCAAGACGAGCTCGAAATCCCAGGTCTCAAAATGTTAATCACGCCTTGCACAGCCTAGATGCTCCGAGCCCCTAAGCTCAAACCCCTGCAAGTCCGATACACACTGGTCAATTCCCAAGCTAGACCTTAAAAACCAGCCCTATATACAACAAAGGCCTCAGCCAAACGACAGCCCAGAAGGCCTCCAGCGCTACACCTCCAAATCCACATGAGATCCAAGCGTCTGTCATCCCTCCAGGCTGGTCGTCCTGCAAAGGAGTTTCGGCTGCCCCTAAGGGTCCTCTGTTACGATCCCCGAAGCTTAGGTGTAGAATGTCACCGAGTGTCTTTGCAGAGCTGGGGCTTAGAGGGCTCCAGCTCTGGTGGTTTATATAATTCAGGGTTTAGGGCTTAGGGTTCAGGGTCTAGGGTTTAGGGTTCAGGGTTCAGGGTTTAGGGTATGCAAGAGCTGCTCCTCGTTGAGCTTTCGGCGCCATCGTACGATGACGACTTCGTCACCCTCGTGGTACCTGAGACGGGAACAGTCTATAGAGCCACTTGGCATCAAAGGTTCTTGGCACTCGCAATGTTGGGAGCTAGGATTAGGGGGACCCTTGGGGATATAGACCTCTCTCAATAAGGTCCCTTTTAAGAGAGCCAGAAGTAGGGTTCAGAAGGGGTACCCTTTCAGGGGTACCCCTAATAATACTACCTAAATGTCTGGTCTAGTGGCAAAAACACCGTAACGGACCGTAGCAATGCTCTAACCCCTGAGCCGAAGGGCCTTAGCCAGCTCTGAGAAGCGATTTCCTATAGCACCGTTGGTTCTCTCTTCTTTCACTTTCGTTTAAGTAGTTCTCTAAAGAGGGGTCCCCTTTTTAGGTCCCCAATATAGCACGGCACCCCTCATAAGAAGAAAAGGGGACCCTAGTTAAGAGAAGTACCCATTTGGGAGTTTCCGAAAATAGGGGGCCCTAATATATAGGACCCCAAATAGTAAGATCCTTATTATAAGGACCCCAAAATAAGGTACCCCTTATTTTAGGACACTCCCATGTCTGCATCAGTGAATCGCAGACTCTCCCCAGGCCCGGCCTTGCTCGTCTGTGGGAATCGCGGTTGTCCCCGAATCGTGGGCGATAGCCGTAGGTCAGGAAGGGAACGAGGTCTATCCAGAAGACTTCCCGCAGAAAGGTGCCTGAGCCTCGGCAAGGACGCAGAGGTGACAGGCACTGCCTTGCAGAACCTCGAAGTCTAAATGGAATGCTCATAGGTGCCTAAATACACGCTGTACCTGACACGGCGCACGAAGCTCTCGAGAGGGGGACTGTCCAAACCCTTCAGCCTCAAACCGTGTCTAGCTTACCGCTGACATGCCTGAACACGCAGGTTAGCAAAGCCGAGACCAGCGACGTGTCTGCAAGGTGATCGGCAGCTTCCACGCCAGGTGCTGGTGAGCCAACAGGATGACACTAACAGTGCCACCAACCCCATCCTCGCCGGGACTTAGATACCTCAGCTTGATCCCTGCTATACGCTACCTACACCAAAAATAAATCCCACGACCCGAACCAAGACCAAAGCAAGCCGCATGTGTGCCTCTGCAGTTTGACAACAAGATCCTACCCTGAAGCCTTAAGCCAAAACCACTTTACCCTGCATCTTCACAACAAACTTGCCATCAAGCTAAAGGTGCTCGGAGGTGCTCTGCACAAATCCGGTGCAGAGGCCTTGTATGGCTGTGACGACCTCTCGGCTGCCAGATTGTGCCTGCATATCGTGTGGAAATGGCATGACCTTGGTGAGCCACGTTTGCAGGAACGCCGGCCATGCTGCAGAAGCTCGAGGTGCGCATGTATGGGCTCTACGACGTGAAAAGCAGCACATGCAACTGAGGGCAAAGCCCAAACTGCACCTGCCAATCCTTCGAGCTTCAGTTTGAGGTTCGTCGCATCCACGTTCTCAGACATGTCGATGCCGAAAGGACGGAGGCTAGCCTGGGAGGCACGAAGCTCCGATCTCATCTTCTCTGATGTCGGCCATGAGAGCTCGGTGGTACACCACTCAAGACGAGGATGCTCCGACCGGAGCCACAAGGCCACGAGCCGTGCAGCTGCGACGGTGAAGAGATGGGTGCATTCGCCAACGAAGAGGAGTCGCTTGGCTTTCGTCCGGCATTGACATAGAAGCAGTTCCTGGGCCTTCAGTGTCTCCTCACTGGGAAGCCCATGAGCAAGCATGCCTGCCTGCCTTCGCGCAGGTGACCTGCCGCGCTCTCGCTGGGACACACCAGGGGCTGGTGCAGGAGGCAGTGGAGGTGGGGCTGTAGGTAGCGAAGGTCCGCGTCGGGCAGTCAAGATTGCCTTTCTGGTTCTCGGGGCACGGGGCATGGCATCCAATGAGGACAACCCGAGTCTCCTGCAAAGGCCGTTGCAAACATGCAGTGACCTGAACTTCTGCATAGCAGCAGACCCCAGATCGGCGGCACCAAATTCCTGCCCCAGTGAAAGAACCTGAGGATCCGTCAAATGGACTCGTCGATTTGTCCCATGACCTGGCAAAAGAACTCCTTGAAGGTCTGCCACCATGAGGTTTCCCTGGCTGGCATCCAGCGAGAAATGCGCAAAGGCTTCCACGGCCATGCTGTACTCGGTGCTGCTTGGCGGGATCAGTATCTCACCCCGGTTATTGACCCATTTGGTGAAACCTCTTTCTGACCCCTTCAAGAACGGCTCTGCAACACACAGTATAGGGGGGTCATGCTGGTTCGCACTCACATCGTAGACCCATGTCTGTGTGCACGACACAAGACGCATCGGCTCATGATCGGAGTGCCACTGCTCGGCAAACGCCCACCAGATGGCCTTATGAAACTCCTGAGTCAGCATACGAGTCTGGGCCGTGTTCTTCGCGAACCCCCGCACGAATTGCCAGCAGTTGTCGTGCTCAGCATACCTGGAAAGCTTTGCCACCATTTCTGTTCGGATGTCTGCATCGCGGCACCTGTAAACCAAACGCATCCCTCCCTGCATGAAAGGGTTGCGGTGGAGCTGAAATGTGCACTTCTGCTTGGTTCTTGTCATCACAGCACCTTGGCAGAGTGTGAAAGTGTAACGCCATGCCTCCCTAGGTCTCATGATGAACTTGGATTTGGTGGAAGGTGTAAGCCGACATCCAGAATAGCGCGTTGCGCTTTCAAAAGCAACACAGCGTATCTTCCGATCACGAAGGCATACCGTGTTCCTTGTTTCGGTAACTGTCTTGCTGAGGCTGGAGAACGTGTTGACAAGATTTTCCACATCCAAGCTGGCACAACTGAAACTTCCTCGGCCAATCTGTGCAACTTGCTGGAGAATGGAGAAGTCCTTGGGCCCGAAGCCGATGCAGTGAAGAACCACGTTCGGGCTTGCTGCGAAAAGGGCTTGAAAGTCGGGCAGAACGCTAGCACGTAATGTTTCTGGACAGCCGTCGGACAAGAAAACTGCACGGCAGACTTGTCCAGGAACAGACAGCTCCGTGACTGCAGAAACTATCTCATCATAGTTGACCACGCCGGCAGGCTCGAAGTTGGCACAGCCGAGGTCGGCAATCGCTTCGGAGCTGGTGCGCCTCAGGAACTTGACCTCATAGCTGTTCATCGACAATGTAACCAAAGAGTACAGGTCCATCACAGCCCCAGCGGATCGTTGCTGAACGATAAAGGTTTTGAGCACATCGACAACTGCATCGATCCGACGGAGCTTGTCTCTGCCATGGATGTCCCGCTTTTTCATGCTGCTAGAGAGGTCTACGAGGAAGATGACAGAGATCGGTGCGTTCACTGCCGGAGGGCGTGTGAAGCTTCGCAGCTCACCCAAACAATCTCGTGCTTCATCAAGATCCACGTCCGAATCGAGAGAAATCTCACCTAGCATGTGGCTCCCAACATGACACGGTGGACATACTCACCTACAGCTGGAGATATTTAGCACTCATTGCTCTAATCCACAGGCCCTGGCTCGCATCAGAGACTGCGTCCAGCCATGCATCGAGCTCGTCCTGCCCTTCGGTGTGGGCACTCACACAGTCCTTGAAATCTTCATCGACAGCCAAGTGCCCTGCCATGGCCGCTTGGATGGATGAGCAACAGGTAGCAGGCCTAGCAATCCTGGATGTGCCATATGAGAGCCCAATGATGTGCGACCTTGCACTCTGAGCAGAGTTGGCTGCAAGATTGGTCCGCCAAACTGGCCAGTGACAACATATGTCATTATGCCAATGGAAAGGTATTACTTACCGCAACCTCCTGCTGGTTATGCACATCGCTATGCATTTTGCCTGCAGTGTTTTCTTGTTGTGTCCCTCTCTGTTTTGTTTTTCTCCTGTCTCTCTGGTTTGTGTTCCGGCTCAATCCCGCTTGTCTTGAAGGCACTTGCATGAACGGCCAGACATGCACTTCAACGACTTTTCACTCCTTATAGGTATAGTAAGGCTGCAGCTGCCAGGTCCATCGGTTCGCAGCAGTGTCACACTGACCAGCACCTTGGGGCTTGGTTCTGTGTCTCATCTACCGACAGCTATTCTATACGACTCGCTTCGCTTCTCGACATGGTAGAATCTGGTATAAGAGACATTGTGTCCTCTGCAGTACTTGTCAAGTTGCATACGTCATAGGGTGCAGCAGATGATTCGCGCAAAGCCCGCCCGTGTCGGAGTGCTAACAGTACCAAGTCTGGACAAAGCGGGCCGTTCATCCGAAAGGGTTGGGACTGAGGTGCAAAGTCTGAAGGAGTTGATCGGACTGGCCTCTGAGCTCATCTCAAGCTCCTCATGCTTTGCTCCCTTAGCCTACATAGGCCATAGCAGGAGCTTCAATGAAATCTCGAGTTCGGCGCATCCTTGCGCTATGTGTCGCAACAGCTACTTGGAGGCTCCAAAATCCCAAGACCCTAAGCCTGGCGAGATCGAGACGAGAAGCTGGTACTCCCTAGGGATCCTTTGCCATGAGCCTGGCAGGCGACACAAGGTTTTACGTTTCGGGCTTGCCCGGCGAAACCATACCCCCAAACACATACACACGCACACAACCGCCTTCGCACACAGACAGATAGACAGACAAACAGACCTAGAAAAAAAACAGAAAAAAACAACGAAGAATTCGAGCTCGGAGCTTGTCTGCTGAACGGCCCACGAGTCTCCATAGCCTTTAACTTTAATCCGGAATCCCAAACAAACTCCCGAGCGATGCCCTTGCTAGAAGGTTAAGAGCTTAGTGTGAAGCAAGCGACCAAAACATGGATTCGAACTCTAAACCTTACAGCATAGCAGCATAGCAGCAGAAGAGTGCAAGGCCTCCAACATCATAAGCAAAGCTACGGTCAACTGTATGCAGTATCTTCCCTCGAAGCAGACGCTGCGGCACATACCGGAGTCATCAAACTCACTAGGAACCACCAGGAACAACAAGATTTCTGACGTTGTGGACTTGGAAGCTGGGCGCGCTTGGAATCTTCTGCTCTCAGAACCTGGTTGCTCCCAGCGATACTGTAAAACCCACACCAAGTCACCAAATGCTATCAAGCCACCAAGCCAATACATGGGCTGAGAGAAGTGCTACGCTTTGTCTTGCAGACTTCGGTGTTGTGTAGCAGTGATGGCATAGCAACACTTCTTGTAAGAGTTTTAAGTCTGCAGCAGGTCTTAGCCATCCTAGGTTGCCAATAGGCTTGTCGTTCGCGGGTTCGCAGGAGCACACTCCGACGAAGATGTACGACAGAGCCATCAATGAACGTCTCAGGCCACTGAAGAAAACTGCACCTCATATAAACTCGTACAGAACATCCTACACTACACATTCCGAGATTGCCTGATGTTGTCAAGATTTACCCATAACATCCAGGTGATCGGTTAACGTTCGGTACAACTCCAACAACATCCCTGCCTCGACAAGGAGCTCGCAGCCGGGCAACGGGAAAGGAGTGCTCTGATGTGCTGCATGGCAGAAGCATGCCGGCACAAATACATGGACTTTACTTTTTAGAATTAGAAGGGCCACCTAAGAAACACCCACAATCACAATAGGGGAGTCCTGCGCTCAACTGGGGCGTGTGAGGCTTTCGCGTGCTCTACCAAAAATGCATGAGAAGTAGTTCGCTAAAGCTGGACACAAATTGGAGGGCCCCTGCTGTGCTGCTTGCTGCTGTGCTGACTGAGGCTAACCGTCCGTGCCAGTCAGCTTAATGGTGCTCTTCTGGGGATTCGTCATCTTGCTGACTGCGCCAGGTTGCGTCGTTCCAGTCAAAGGTCGTTTGCGACACCTGCGAACTGGGCGACAAATCAGGCACCCGTTTCGATTTTTCAGGAGAAGCATGCAGGTGTAGCATCTTGTAGACAGATGGAACCAGTGCCATGCCAAAGCCAACATCAGTTACAGTTGCTGACATTCCTCTGAACATCAGCAGCACGATATGGCTGACATCAGCGTAACGGCCATCATCACTATACCACCTCTACCATCATCAACAAAAGCTACCATATGGCACTGCTGCTATAGGTGGTCCCTGAAGGCCCTAAAACCCCAACCCTGGTTCCTAACTGCCTTGATGTTGAAGTTGAGCTTGGCACCAACGTCCAAAACCAGCCTGGCGAAGCTCAAGCTATAGCCAGACTACCCATAGGCCATAGGCCCTAAAGTAGTTCCTTTTGGAATATATAGAATCCTATCAGGTAACCCCAAAAAGGAACTACTATGGGGCCTATGGGTACAGCTAGACTAGTAACAACCCAGAACTTACTGCAAGCCTCTAGGTGTACCAAACGGTGACAGTGAAGCTTGCGAGCTCGCCATCCTCTGCCTTTATGCTCACAAAACCCTAAACCCTAAACCCACTTGTCGCCTGAAGCTCGGCAACTCACGCATCTGATCCCTCCCAGGGTGAGAGCTTGATCGTACTTATGGGCTCCTAAGATGCAACATTCGTTGAACTGAAGCATTGCAGCATGCTGTGCAGAATTCAGACACAGAAATCAGACACCAGAGATAGAACACGTGTAGAGCAAACGTCTATCGCATCTAGCTAGAGCTTTTAACACTTCCTGCATCTAAACATTCACAAGCTTCACACACCGAATCCCGCGATCCAAATGTAAGCAAGAGAGGCCTGATGGCCACAGCGTCCTATACACACACGAAGCCCTTTGTCCTCGAGATCCCTCAGAACCCCAGACGGACCTTGACATTCTACACACACTGTCCCAGGAGCCTCAAACCCTTATGTCCCGTGGTTCTGGTTTCGATGTCACGTGGGGTCTTTCGGAAATCCCCGGAAGAGGCAATCTGAGCCGGCGAAGCTCTTCGTACCCCGTGGGAAGCGCCACGCCCGTGGAGTTGTGCAGTGGCGGCAGGGAGCTGCCCCCACCTCAGGTGTCGGATAAGCTTCGACAGCTATGGCGATTTGGGGTTTGGGAGGGTGTTAGCTTACAATAGGTGTAACTGTGTGTCCAGTGGACTCTCCATGCCTTTTGTGACGGGAATACTTTGGCCCCTGTGAGCACTAGAATGAGCTATAAGACGCCAGGATTCCCTTGAACTGGCGACACCACTACCCGGCAGCCTGCGACCGAAGATGCTGCCCTGCTGCAACCGCGCCCAACAGCAAAGACACTGAACCCTCAATTCCACAACCACAAAACCGAATGGGTCTTGCAATGCTCCATGAAAAGGCCCTGTGTTCCAATCTTCGGGGCCCAGCATGGCCCAACAAACAAACCTAGAATGCAGAAGGGCCATGTCGAGCGCTGGAAATTGGGTCTCACACACCAGAGAAGTTCACAGAAGTTCACTTTCCTACAGCTCCATAATGGGGTCTAGAGGAATATCGGGGCCTTAATAAATGGAATAGGGTTTTGGGGCCCGTTATGCTATAGTTATAATAAGGAACCCATAGAATAGTATGGGCAATTATTTAGGCCCCTACATTATATGGAACCACCAACCGCCATGATTCCATGCTTCAAGGTACGGGCTTCAGGGTGACGTGGGATGGACGATGGTTTGCGTGAGAACTACGGCCCTAAACACTTATTTATATAAGCCCTAAACGCTTGCTTATATAAACCTAAACCTTATATTTATGTAAACCCCAAACACTTATTTATATAAACCCTAAGCACTTATTTATGTGTATATATATATATACACCCTAAATCCAAGGAATCTGGGAAAACAGTATTTGGAATTGAAGGCCTCTGCTCGAATCGCTGGGCTGAAGCGTGGTCGGAAATCTTGTATTCAGCACACGGAGCTCTACGTTTCGTGTGCACGTCATTTCGTCTTTACCCTACTGAGCCCTGAACATACACACTATTTCAGGGTGGCTACTGTAATTAGGGGCCTTACTAATTAGAATAGGGTTTTGGGGTTCCTTATTATAGTTATAGTATAATAATCCCCGACACCCTATTCAAATTATTACGGCCCCTATATTAAAACGGCTCAGGGAAGTTCTTGCAGGCAGCCGGGCGGCTCAGAATCATGTAGGGTGCCTGGGCTGCCGACGGGATGTCGCTTCGCAGCTCTCAACACAGCTGTCTCCCGAGCATAAACAGGGTTCAGGCTCCAGGGAGAGAGCATGCCCCAGGGTTTAGGGTTTAGGGTTGAGGGTTTAGGGTTTAAGGAAATCGAAGAGAACATCCGAGCCACATCAAAACATTCCAACCTCACTGGCAGCAACTCCTATCTCCCAGAGCCCTAGAGCCACCAAGGTGCCGAGACATCGGCGTTGGCCGGATAGCCGGGTACCTCGCTGGCGGAGAACAGCGGATAGCTGAAGCCGATGTCGACGATCTGCCCTAATACCTGCAAGGCAAGGGACCGAGGCGAGGATTTTAGGGCTTAGGGTTTTTTAGGGTTTGGGGTTTTTGGAGTAATTAAGAGGTTCCCTAGAAAGGCTATCTTAGTGCTGGCTGAAAGCAGACTCGAGTCCAGGGTTCGGCACCGCATGCTGTAATTTCTTAGCCTTGTTCAAGAGCTTTGGCAGTGTATAAGCTCCGGGATTATCCTGATTATGGCTCATGGTGCAGAAAGCATAAGCCATGAACTGTCTGGCTGTACAACCGAACCCTAAACCCTAAACCATCACTTCACTGCAGCAGAATACAATAGCAAAGGCTTCAAGAAAGAGCTGACAAGCCGACACTTCCACCTTGCCGCGCAGAAGTTCTAAAGCTACACTACCCCTAGACACTCGCTAGGCATGTTCTGAAGGCCATCCAGTACAGGAACCCTTCAAGGGTCACTTAAAGGATCCCCTGGTCACTTAAAGGATCCCCTAACCCTAAACCCTAAAACCCTAAAGCCCTAAAATCTAAAACCCTAAAGCCCAAAACCCTAAAACTCTAAAACCCTTAAAACCCTAAAACCCTAAAACCCTAAAACCCTAAACCCTAAAACCCTAAAACCCTAAAACCCTAAAGCCCCAAAGCCCTAAACCCTAAACCCAAACCCTTAAGCCCCTAAACCCTAAAGCCCTAAACCCTTAAAAGGCAGACCTCACAAAGAAGGTCTCGGGGCATCAGCTCCCGGCCTGGTGGGCGGCCATGTTGGAAGACAGCTGCTCCTGCCATGATGAGTAATTATATTGTAAGTAAATAATTAGTAAATAATAGTAAATAGTTATTATTTAATAAGATTTTTAATAAAAATACATATCATATTACTTGTATTTCTTTAAAAATAGGCTTTCAGACCTCTCCACTTAGAGCTACGGGGTTTAGGGTATTTGGGGTTTGGGGGGTTTAGGGTTTAGGGTATTTAGGGTTTAGGGGACAGGGCTTTCGAGTTTTTGGGTTTGGGGATTTTGGGTGCGCGGCTTAGAATTTAGGGCCGAACGCACGAAGCATAAAAGCAATCCTCCCACCATGCCAGCGCCAGCACGGTAAACTTGAGGTAGGCAGTGACAATGGCACTCTCCTGCGGATTTCCCCCGGAAAGCGGGAGGCAACCACGCAATTCCTACTGACAATAGACCTATGATTGCTATTGCTGTATCAAGACTGTTTGCCACGTCTTGCTTTGTTGTGACAGCCGACAACCCCGAAATGCCCTTGCACTCCCGGGTTACAGGCCGCATCTCAGATCCAAACTGTGCAAAGCAAATGCTGAGCCGGGGGACAGTAGCGTCTGCAGGCTTTGTATACCTTGGCAAGATTTGCACAATCCACATCTACAGGAGCAAGCCGGAAGGTCCCATTGCACAAACAGGGCAGTTCCAGTGCCCAGCGGCCATGCAGGTCACAAAGCGACTGCACATGGTTGTGAATGAATACCGGCCGATAGCCCGATACCAAGTTTTGTGAATTTGCGATCATCCGCCCGGGAAAGTCCGGCAGCCAACGTAACTGCGCAACGATCCCAAAGATCCCGTCAACAAAGCCTGCATGCTTGACACCAAGGTGCGTCACTGTGATATTGGGCCCGGCGTCCCACTGCACATATGCGTTGGCGCTAGCCTTGGCGATCGGCTAGCAGCCGAGAATTCCCAAGTAACTCTCAAAGGCTCTTGGGCAGTAGGGACTAGGTCTCTGTCTGGCTTCGGCAATGATTGAAAACCAACAAACGCGTGAAACCAAAATTCTGGAGATTTCGAACCCAAAATATTTTGTCTGGGTAAGTCGCCGAGTCCTGAACCCTGCACTACACTTCCGAACCCTGAACTAGTTAGGACCCACTCATCGAAGGAATCTAAGCAGTATCCGGGGACGATCGACCCCCTGCCAAACCTTGAACGCCAAAACCCCGAAATGCTTTCGAGGTGCCGTCACTATGTCGCCTTGATAGATGAAGTCGACACTCTCCGATAGCTGCAGCGAGATGCCTCTCCAGACAGTAGGGTTTGCAGGGCCTACCGTAAGATTTAGGATTTCCGGTTCGGGCTTGCAGGATTTATGGTTTCGGGATTTCACGAGGTTGGGGCCGCGAGATTCTCCGATTTGGGGAGCGTTTTCTTGGCCTTTCTCGTCATGCCCAGGCTGCACCAAACAGAAGCATCGGCTTGCGGCTTAGTATAACCCTAACCCCCCAGGTACCTGCTATACAGGGTACTAGAGACCCTGGGGCCCTANNGTAGGTACTTGGGGGGTTAGGGCAAGTACGACTAAAGGTGGCTTAGTTGCTTCAACTTTGTTGGCAAGCAGGGCTTGTAAGTACCTTACCCGACACTGGCCAAAAAACGTCACTAAGCCCGTGGGTCCTTTACGTGCAGGAGGGGATCTGAAGCATAGGGCTTTTTAATCGTAGCGACTATAGATGTCATGCAAGCAGCTACAGGGTTACGTTCTCAATCATGCCCCCGCCGAATCTTCAAGCAAATGCAACATGTCGATTTGAGCTTCAGGTTCCAGGCTTGGGCCATCTGGCCTGGCTGGCAGGCAGCAATCCAATGGTCGATTTGGGCTGTGTAGCCCAGCTCGAACTCGCCTAGGGTGGCGTGTTGAAGCCCCTAGCCCTATAGACCCTAAACCCTCAAATAGAGAGGGGTCACGACGGTGCTTATGGCCGGCTTAGGGTTTAAACCCTGGCGGGGCGGCTTCCTGAAACTTGACAAGCAAGCAAAGCTCGAATACTTATGAAACTCTGGGCTTATGTTTTAGTGTAAGACTCAAGGCGGTAGCCGCTGTAGCCAGGATGCACTATGTTCTATTGAGCGTGTGCTGACGGGCTTCACCCCCCCCCCCCC